TCTCCACGTCCCTCTTTCTCCAGCTCCTGTTATCCCTTTGATTGACGCATCTCTAGGCGCTGCCGGGACGTTGTGTTGCCGCGTCTTGTCTGGTCTTGAACACTGTGAGGACTCAGACCCACCAGCCTGTGTGCTTCTCCCTGGAAGTCGGCGGTTCACACAGTCAGTGCTCGTGGGAGGAGGAGCCCTTCTCTGCTCCCCTCCCGCCAGGAACCCCGCGCCTCCGGGGTACGCTCACTTTTCCCTGGCTCTTCTCAGCTTCTGCTTCCAGCTGAAGTTTTCTCTTTGTTTTGTCTTCAAAGATCTCAGGACTCCTAGTCCTGCAAGGAACGAAACTTGCCCTTTTCCAAAAAAACCAAAAAGTCCATAACATTTTCAACTCAAGATAATTAACAATAATCATATGATACCCACATGGGTTTCCCATTCTTGGCTGACACAATTTTTTGTCTTTTTTAAAAAATTTAACAGAGATACAGAGAACGGATTGATGGTTGCCAGAGGGGAGGGAGGTTGGGAAACTGGGTGAAAAGGTGAAGGGATTGAGAGTTACAAAATAGTCACAAGAATGTACAGTACTGCATAGGGAATATAGTCAACAATATTGTAGCCCTAGCCGGTTTGGCTCAGTGGATAGAGTGTCGGCCTGCAGATGGAAGGGTCCCGGGTTCGATTCCGATCAAGGGCACGTGCCTCGGTTGCAGGCTTCTCCCCAGCCTGGGCCTGGCCAGGGCACATGCAGGAGGCAACCAACCGATGTGTTTCTCTCACATCGATATTTCTCTCTGTCTTTCCCTCTCTCTTCCACTCTCTCTAAAAATCAGTGGAAAAATATTCTCGGGTGAAGATTAAATAAAAATATATATTTAATAACTATGCACAGTCCCACGTGGGCACTGGAAATATCGGGGGAAACACTTTGTAAAGTATATGATTATCTAACTACTACGCTGTATACCTGAAATTAATACAAAATAATACTGAAAGTAAACTGTAATTGAAAAAAAAAAATTTAAATTTTTCAACAGGGGACCCACTCCCATTTCTAAATCCCCCTGTCATAGGAGGGGTCCCTGGCCTGCTCTCACAGACTCAAGCTAGCCCCTCCTTCGAAGGGGCAGAGTGGCCCGGCTTCTCCCTGATGAACAAGACAGTTGGTTGTGGTCCAGCTGCTCTGTCCTCTCTCATCGGGAGCACAGAGACAGGTTCCTGTTATTGGAAAGCATCCTTAACGCTCCCTGGCCGAGGGCAGCTTACTGGGACTTCGCAGCACTTCTTCGCGCTCTTCCCTGTGTAACAGTGCAGGTGATCTTTTGAGAAAACCCTGCCAATGCCCGATGGTATCATGCCCTGGAACATGAGCGATGGTTTATCAAACCCTTTCCTCCCAGACGAAGCAGGATTGCCATGGGGGGGGAAGAGGGGGCGGGCAGGGGTGCTCACTGTTGCCTCCAGGCCTGCAAATGTGCTACAAGAATGTTTTTTGGACGCAGGAACTCAGCTAGCCACACCTTTTATCCTCTTGCTGATGATCCCTAAAACGACAGAAATGACAAATCCAGTCTGATTTCTTGAGTGTTACAGGCCTGAACTCTCCTGAGCAGCTGTTTCTCGTTTCAAAGATCCCTCCCTTCTGTGTCCAGTCCTCTAGGTGGGGCCCTGTCTCTGCCTCTCCCTCTGCCCCTTTCCTTCTGGCAAATCACCGCTAGAAACGCCGCATCCAGGGAATACACCGGCTCCTGTCCCCCACCCCACCTTCCTGTGCTAACGCGTGTCCTGACCCCGCACGGAGGGGCTGTGAAATGCGAGGATTCTGCAGTCAGAGAGCCCTGGCTCCGAATCCGGGCTCGGCTCCTGCCTGTCCGTGGCCCCGGGTCACTCCATACCTGTTCTGGACTCACATCCTTGTCGAATGCAGCAGACGCGCCAGCACCGACCTCCTGTGGTTGTTGGGAAAGGACGGATCCAGCAGAGGGATGTGAATGATTGGCCCGGCGCCAGAGGCGCTGGAAACGCTATAACTGTGGACGATTATTATTATTGGCTGCGTGGCAGAAAGAAACATTGTGGAAACAGCAGGCCGGCCTCCCGGGCTGCCGTGCTTTCAGCAGCTGCTCAGCCCCTGCTCGCTGCTGCGCCGTCCAGGCCACGTGCCAGCAAGGCGGCTCTCCGTGTCTGCAAATAGATTCCAGATGCTGCAAGAATCGCAGTGTTTTCCTGGCCATCAGCCTCGGCGGAGAATCACCTCAGCGGCGACGGGCACTCAACAGGGCCAATTAGGTTTTATCTCTGCCATTATCATTGTGTGTGTTATACCACATGGGGGATTTTTTTGTTGGCCCCTGAGCCGATAGAGATGTTAAAATTGATGGCTCCAATGAGGAGGGGGCAGGAAAGCGGTCTCTTCCCACCGGGTCTCGGTTTTTAAAAGCTCCCCGGAGGGTGGCAGTTACACTGAACCCTCATTAGCCCTGGGCAAGCTGAGAGACAGCAGTCTCACGGTCCCCGCTTTTGTCATTAGGCGCGCACCAGCTTGCTTCCCGCGTCTCTCCCCTCCTCGCCCCCTCCCTTTGAGCATTTTCTTACTTTCTGGGTACCACGAGGTGTTCCAGACTCATCTTGTCTTTTTCTCTGCTCCTGCCCTGGAATGAATCACTTCTCCTTAGGAGCCCTGGTTTCTTTTATGGGAGAATGATGCTTAGATTAAAGCAGAAACACACTACTGTTTTCCTGGTCGCCACATACAATACTCTGAACACGTCTATTTTCTGGCCATCAAATGTGTGGAGGTTTTTCTATACCTCAAGCAATTCTTTTAAAAAAATGTTTTTATTGATTTGAGAGAGAGAGAGAGAGAGAGAGAGAACATAAATCAGCTGCCTCCTGCAGCCTGAGCATGTGCTCTGACTGGGAATCGAACTGGTGACCTCTGGGTGCATGGGATGACATACAACCAACTGAGCCACACCAGCCAGGGCTACACCTCGAGCAATTCTGTGCTGGCTCATGGAGACTCTGACGGTAAGACAGTTGAGAATGGGCTAGTTTGATTTCATGGAATGAAAAGATGTTGAGATTAAGACAGGATTTATCTTATTTTCTAAGCCAGGACCCTGAGAGGGAGAGGCAGGTGGCCACAAAGTCTGAGGGGGAGGGAGAGGGTACATTTCAAAGCTGGAGTGTCGGGGGGCTCTGGGGCCTGGGCTGCCTGGCAGCGCTCCCCTTCCAGGTGGGACACATGGCCCAGGTGTTCTGGAATGCTTAGCAAAGCCCAGAGGATATTGCTGAGCTACATCAACAGCTCCCAATTCTCACCTCTCAGACCAGAGGAAGCTGGGAGCAGGAGAGTTCAGGCAGAGACAAACATCACTTGGAGGATACTGTTCAAGGCACCCTCAAGACACACAGCTTGGGTGTTATTCTAGAGAGCCGAGGTTGTGGCTTTTATTTTTTATTTTTTTATTATCCTCACCCGAGGATATTTTTTCCATTGATTTTTAGAGAGAGTGGGAGGGAGAGGGAGAGACAGAAACAACGATGTGAAAGAGACACATCGATTGGTTGTGGCTTTTAAATGCAAGGATGGGCAGTGGAGGAGGCACTGTTATTATCTGCATACTGCTTGTCATCTCCGAATACGCTTAGATTGATCTGGGGTACTTTAAGACCAGTGAGATGAGAGAGGGGTAGAGGAACACAGGAAGTTAGCCAATGAGATTTGGACTAGAAATCCAAATCTTTTGTTTTCTAAAGGATATTAATGAAGACGTCTGTCCAGCAATTCATATCCTGTACATACAATGATAAGAAAAATGTGAAGTGTATAAAAAAGAGTTGGAATCACAAGTGAACAGGAGTTGAACTAGAAGGTGAAGTAGAGGAAATATTTGAACAAGAGTGGGATCCATCTTGCTCATGAACCCAAAGGTTCACACATTAGAAGTGGATCTGTCAGGTGCTGAGATGGAGGAAGAAGACAAGAGGCTCTGCTAAAGGCCCAGCCGCTGGAAAGGGCCACCCCAGCCAGTGAACACCCAACAATTGTCAGGCCACTCTTCAGCTTCTTTTATGAAATGCTTATGACGTGTCACGAAGCCCTCAAAACAATATTTACCCTTGCTCAACGAGCGCTTTGGCTAAATTATAAGTATGCTCTGACTACACTGCATAGCAAACTATATTTAAAGGTGCAAAATAATCTCTTACCATTCATGATTTTGGAAAAGGCTTTTAAACCACTCTTACCTTCCTTCTGGGTGGAGAGAAAGAGAAGAATCCATGTGAGAAACATAGATCGGCTGCCTCCCGCACGCACCATCACCGGGAATTGAACCTGAAAGCTACATACAAGCCCTGACTGGGAATTGAACCCCCAAGCTACATACATATCCTGACCGGGAATTGAACCTGCCACCTTTGGGTGTAAGGCAGCGGTTCTCAACCTGTGGGTCGAGACCCCTTTGGGGGTCGAACGACCCTTTCACAGGGGTCGCCTAAGACCATCAGAAAACACATATATAATTACAGATTGTTTTTGTGATTAATCACTATGCTTTAATTATGTTCAATTTGTAACAATGTAATTGGGGGTCACCACAACATGAGGAACTGTATTAAAGGGTCGGGGCATTAGGAAGACTGAGAACCACTGGTGTAAGGGATGATGCTCCAACCAACTGAACTGCACCGAACAGGGCTGTTACCCCAAATTTTCCAAATTAGGAAGTGAAAGCACAGAAATGCTAAGTAGCTTGCCCGGTCACCTAGAGCTGGGACATGGACTTGACCCAGGCATTCTGGCCCCAGAGGCTGTGCTCTTAACGGCTCCCCACACCACCCTTTCCTCTAATACGTGTAAGAGAGTGCACATTATTCCAGCTTGACTTTTGCTGAGCCCTTCGAAGGAGCCTGAAAGGAAAACAGGACTGCATGGCTGCATGAAACACACAGGAAATAGTTTATTAGTTTCCAGAGGGAGGAAAGGGTAGAGGAAAAACCTTTCAGTAGAAATCCGTGGCCCTCCTCAGGGAGCCCACCCGGGCGCTGGCGGCCCCCCAGTCGTGGGAGCGCCTGTATTCCCCCGGCTGCAGCAGGTACTGCCGCCCCCGGTAGCTGGGCATCTCGTAGAGGACCCAGCAGCCCTCCAGCACGCTGCAGGAGTGGACCTCCTGGAAGTGCAGGCGGTCCTGGAGAGAGGAGCAGTCCTCCGCGATCTCCACCATCTGGCCTCTGCAGTCCTCCCTCTCGTACAGTCTGATCCTGTGGGAGCTGCTCTGTGGATTCAGCAATCGGCCGACGAGGAAAAGTCAGAAAACCCAGCCGGTAGCAACCAATCCCACACAGCTCTGGGGAGGTGGACATGTCTTTATCTTTTCTGTATCAAAGCTGAACACGTTAAAGAAAGAGACTTCTGCTACCAGGGCTGCTGTGTACAGTTGGAGAGGGTGTATACTCTAAAACTCAAAAAGTCAGTATTCATGGAGCCCATGAGATGAATGGTGCTCCCTAGAGTTTTTTGGGTCACAACCTATATCGACCATACATGCTGGCTCTATTTAGTACCATCCTTTTAAAAAAAATTTCACTAAAGATATGTATAGAGGGAGGAAGCGGGGAGAGTGAGAGAAAAACATCAATGTACGGAATGATACTCCAACCAACTGAATCGTTCGGCCAGAGCTTTAGTACCATTTTTAAATAACACTTTTATATATTTGGTTTGCTCTCTCCTTCATAGACTTATGGTCTTCTGGGGCTCTGCATACTGGATGATATAAAATAATAAAAAATAAAAAGACAAATATATCACTGCCAAATGGCATTATTTTGACTCTTTTTCAAAAGACTTCATTATATTTATTTTTTAAATTTGTTTTTATTGGTTTCAGAGAAAGGAAGGGGAAGGGGGAGAGGAATAGGTACATCAATGATGAGAAAGAATCATTGATGGGCTGCCTCCTGCACGACCCCTCCTGGGGATCAAGCCCACAACCAGGGCATGTGTCCAGACTGGGAATCGAACCGTGATCTCCGGGTTCATAGGTTGATGCTCAACCATTGAGCTACGCCAGCCAGGCATTATTTTGACTCTTGAGAGTATTATAAGAAGCTAGCGACAGAAAAAGTCTAATTGCTTTCCCCAAAGTCAGGCACAGACTGGTGGCAATTATGCATAGGCAGTTCCTTAATATCTTCCTTTCTATGTTAAGTCCTGTTACTCTTAAAATTTTGACAAGTGGGCACCATTATAAAGATTAGGTTTCTGTTCTCAGCTCTAATATATGTTCCAACAAAGCAGTTTTGGGTAATTAATACAAATGGAAGCTCAAGATCATGAAAGAGGCCTTTACAGATCAAGAGATTATAAAACCTTTGGAGGAATGGAAAGGTAAGCGGTTAGTGCTGAGCCAATCCTGTCTTTCCTTGAGCCCTTGTTCTTTTATCTGCTTGTTCCTACCCAGCAGGTACCCATTCAGCGTCTTCCTCCTTCTGCCATGAAATCCTCTTTGCCACAGAAGGCTCTCATCAGCAATTCATTCTGCCGAATAAAAGACTGTGATAATGCATCTTCCGTGGTCCGTAAAGGACTCACAGGTATGATTCCTAATTTGATCCTGGCACCTGTGGAGCAACATTATCAGCCTTTTCCTCTTTGATGAGAAACGAAGGCCAGAGCTTGCAGTCTGTGATCAGAAGAGCCAGGGCTGCAAAGGGTGTGCCCCGATTTCCAGGCTCCTCATGGCAGTCTGGGTCCGATCAAGGCATTCGACCCTCGGAGGGGGTTTCAAACTTCACAAAAGTGGTACATTTCCCCCAAGACTCTGTCATAGGCAAATCAGAGGATCCCTAAGGGTGGAATTCAGGCTGCTGGGGCGAGGTTCGGGTAAGAGAGGGCTTTGCAGGAGCTGTTGGAATCACGTTGTTGGTGACCTGTTTTGCCCAATAAAAAGGCAGGACTGGAGGGTTTATATTTGGGGGGAGGAGTGGCCTGTCATGTGTAAGATAAGTTCCTTTCATCCTCATGAGAACTGTAGGAATTAGTGACTCCCACTGGCCCCGTTTTACAGATGAGGAAAAGAGAGAACAGTCCCAGGCACTATCCTAAGGCCGCCTGGTAGTAAGGAGTTGCTCAGTCACCACCTGTGGGCCTTGACACTCTGAACAATATCGCGCCGTCCTTTTGCCCAATGGAGGTCAATTTAATTTTAACAAAGTGAAATAAAATTTTCAATTAAAAGCCATCCATCACAGCCCAGCCAGCGTGGTTCAGTGGTTGAGCACTGACCTATGAACCAGGAGGTCTCTGTTTGATTACCGGTCAAGGCACATGCCCAGCTTGCAGGCTCCATCCCCAGTGGGGGTCGTGCTAGAGGCAGCCCATCAAGGATTCTCTCTCATCATTGATGTTCCTATCTCTCTCCCCCTCTCCCTTCCTCTCTCTGAAATAAAAAAAAAATAAATTTAAAAAAAGCATTGCATCGCATACTTTTTCAATGGAAGAAACCTTAATGATACTAATAAAGGGGAAGAGAACATTACAGACAGAAAACGCAGACAACGGCCCTGCAGGGTGAGGGGCGGGGGGGTGTGACTGGAGGGCGCAGAGGGACCGGGGACCGGACTCACCTGGGGGATGAGGCGGCAGGAGCGGACAGCGTCGCTGAGGCCCAGCCACTGCTGGTGGTCGGGGTAGTCGCCGCGCCGCAGGAAGTACTGGGGGCCCTGGTAGTCGGGGCGCTCATACAGCATCCAGCAGCCGCTGTCCACGCGGATGGAGTTGCAGCGGCTGAGGTAGGGCTGCAGGTTGGGGTGGTCGCTGCTGCACTCGAAGCGGCGGCCCTGGAAGCCGCGGTCCTCGTAGAAGGTGATCTGCAAGGAAGGGAAGGAGAGGCTCAGCGGCCCGGGCCCCGCCGGGTCTGCAGGGGCCCCCGCCGGCCTGCGCGCCCGGCTCACCTTCCCCATGGCTGGTGGATGGACGTGCGGGCCGGTGGAGGGGCGGCAGCGGGCAGCGGGTCTATATAGCAGCCGGCTGCTGCGTTGGCAGGAGCAGCACAAAAGGGGCCCCGGGTGAGGAGGGCAATTCGTGTTCGCTTTGTTCTCTTTGCTGTCATAGTCCAGGGGCCTTATTGTGGGTGTTGGTCCCATTCTCTCTGGAGTATTCGAGTCGCTATTATTGGTTGATGCTGTGGAGTGTATTTGGAAAAAAAAGTCTTTGGGGCATTGTCTATTTAATAATAGAAGCGGAGCTTCAGCCTTTTCGTATGTAGTCTACACTGTTGTTTGTATAGGTTGGGGAAAAACAAAAAAGTGTACGTGGGAGAGGAAAAAAAAGACAGGGCCTTCTTATGTGAAATAATCTGTAAAATGATCATATTGCTTAGGTGCAACATCGAATACTAATTACCAGGAAGAAAATGACTTTCACTGAGTGTTGAATTTCAAATTAGTCCTTTAAGACAACTTCCTCCCTAAAGAGGGTAGGAAATTGGGATGTTGACCCAGGGAGTTCACAGGATTTCACGCTTTCAGCTGGTAAGCAAACAAACAGAACCACACGAACACAGCAGGCTCAGAGCTTCGGTGTTGGGTCTGGTTTTCATTTTGTTGCAGCCACACGGGGAAGTAGAGAGGATTAGATGTGTTATCTTGGCTAATTGTGAGTTAAAGGGGATTAAGCTGTAAAATGCTTAACCTCAGAATCGTCTTTCTAAAAGGGACATTTCTAAGTTTAAGGAAATAAAGAAAAAGTAATATGTTTAAAACAAAACAAAAAATAGATGGCCTACTAGATCCTTAAAAAATAAAACCAAATTCCCAAGAAATGGTTTCTGGAGGGATCTAGATGCACCTTTGTTCTCTGGGGACTAGAGGGCAGGAGGCTTTTGACTCACAGGAAATTAGTTACGGGGAGACCCAGAGCCCCAGCTGGAATGGGGTGGGTGGTGGGATGAAGCCTAGAGCTGGGACGCTGGGAAGACTTAAGGAAGTATTTCTCGGCCTGGAAGTGAATGGTTCGACGGACAGGAAAGAGCACTGGAGTGGAAAGAGCACCTCTTTCATGCTCAAAGAATTACCCACAATCCTATGTTGTCTCTTGGAAATGCTTTGTCCTGACTTGGGTCATCAATCTTTGTAAAGTCGAGATTTATTCATTAAACACCAACTGTGTACAATATGATGAGTTCAGTACTTGTTATTCACTACATAAAGGCATGTGTTTCCAAAGTTACTTATAGTGAAAAATAAGCAGCCAGAATCTAAAGAATAAAAATCATCATTTTAATTAAAAATTTAAAAAATAGAATAATCAAAAAAATGTTTTAAATCATCATTTTGCTGAGAACTGTTTCTGTGGGGAGAGTGTTGACAGATGAAAACAGTAAAATATGAGCGAGAACCAAATGCGAAGAGTCCCAGAGGGCTTATAGAGGAGTGGGGGGGGGGGGGAGCGTGTGGGGACCACCACCTCCACTGACCAGTTACAACTGAAATTTAAGATACATTTGGGGGACTGAAACAAGGGACTTTGAGCTTGTTTTTTCATAAACTAGGAAGGGAGAAGGCTTTATTTCAGCCTGGGGGGAAAACCCAACCCTTCTCATAGAACTGAAAAGTGTATGTCTTGGGCCAAGATGTGGCTTCATTTCAATGCTCTCCAGACAATTCTGGGAGGGACAAATGTGAGTTAGACCTAAGCTCCAGGTTGTACTTAGTGTGCTGAGTGAACATACGTTAAGACCGGAGAATCCTTACACCTGCAGCATAGGAGCAGTGCTCTGTGCTAGTTGTCGGGAATGACTGGTGGGGACTGTCTTTGGAGGGAGAACAGGAGATAAGGAACAGGATCTCTGTTGTCTGAGCTCCAGTCCAGGAAGTAAGTAACCCTTTGTCACTCCCTAAACATTCAGGTGGTTTCAAACAAAAGTGAAGGAGAAAGAAACTAGTTCAGGTTAGGAGTTTGCTGCATGCAGGGCAATGGTTTGTGTAATTGGAGTAAATAGTCTACAAAATGACGTATCTGAGAAATAGCACTTTCTTATTTTCTATAATTCAAAATAGTTTATGAATCTAAGTCTTATTTATCTCCACTGGGATGGAGAGAAAATTTAATATTAGTCATTGTTGGGTTTCTTCTCCTCTCTTTCCAAGCTTCAGGCTTCATGGTTGGGTTCTGTGGGCTCACATGAAACCAGGGAATTTCATGGGGTTAGACTTAGAGGATTCGTGGGGGACTACTGTGATGTTCATTGTTTGTGGCTCTTCCCAGTTTTCACGATGAGAACTGCTAACCCCGAGGCTGTGGACCTGGAGATGTGTTTTATTTGGTTGGCACAGTGTTTAGATATTTTGTTTTTTGTAATTTTTTAAAATATTTTTTTATTTCAGAGAGGAAGAGAGAGAGAGAGAGAGAGAGAGAGAGAGAGAGAGAGAGAGAGAAATATCCATGATGAGAGAGAATCAGTGATCAATTGCCTCCTGCATGACACACACTGAGGATCGAGCCCACAACCTGGGCATGTGACCTCCTGGTTCATAGGTCGATGCTCAACCACTGAGCCATGCCCGGCTGGGCTGTTTTTGTAATGTTTTAGGTTAGTCCACACTTTCCCTTCACTCCCCATCACTCCTTGTTGTCTTATAGGAGGCTGTTTCACTTATTTACATCATCTCCCTGGCCCCTGAAGGTATTGAGGGCAACCACAAACAAGAGTTTTCAAACTCTACTCAGTTTCTATCAGTTTTTACCAAATTAAAACAAAAAACTATACGTCAAAGTTCTCAAGCATTCTCTCTTGGTCTGAACCATACTTTATTAGCAACTTGTGTGTTTTGGGGTTAAAAATCTCCTTTTGTAAATTTTTTTTTCTTTTATAAAAGGATGTACAAATAGATGGTGCTTAGTTTCACGTTTGTGTTGTTTTGTTTTTAATTTTAAATGACCTTGGATCATTAAAATTGGTGATCCTATGTTGGTCCCCATTGGTCTGGGAAATCTAAAATACTGAGAACCACTTGATTTAAAGAATATGAAAAATATAGCGAACATTTGTATAGGGGATCTGTTTGTTATAATGTTTCAAAATCCTATCCTAGGGTTATTTCAGAAATTATTTCTCCATTGAACTCCCCATATTAGGGCCAGCATAGCAGTTAAGAACCTGGAACAAACCTGAGCTACAGTCTCATCCTTGCCTCTTCTAACTGTGGGACCCTGGCCATGTTATTTAATTTAACTTAATCTCAGTTTTTTCACAGGTGTTGTAAGTAATAGGTTTAATTTGTCTAGTGTAAAAGCTACTTGGATCAAGCTAATTTTTTCACTTTCAAGATAATGTTTCTTATATATAAGCCAAGTCGTTATGCTGTACATTTAAAACTTTATGGCAGTTGTAGCTCAAAACTGGAAAATATATAGTGTTCTTCATTAATTACTAGATAGTTTTACAACTGTTGTACTCTTCATCACATGACATTTCCATTTTAACTGAAGTAGTATGACTCAAGCTTCTTCATCCTTGTCTGCCATTAACTATCACCCATCGTTATTATTCTCAGAACCCTTTATGGAAGTAAAGGCACAAACTGACCGTAAAAAATGTGATTGGAGGCTGGTTTCTCACATTTCTTTTTTGGAATTCTAAGGAAGAAAATGGTCATTTCTTGCTGGGTTGCAAGCTCATTGTAATTTTGCATGAGAGAAAATAAGTCATTTACAAAATGTTTGTATTGTTATTAGAATTTCTCTTCCTGAGAAGATTTATATGTGAGTCTCAAGCCCTCTTGGCACAGAAGCTTTTGTAGCTCTGGATCATTGTTAAAATGTCTCCAAAGCATGAGGGATACATTGTAAAATTCATTTTGCTAGTACCCTAGCCTTATACATAAATTGTTTTTTTCATCCCCAGTGCCACATCTGGCAAGCCTATGTCAGATGCTCAATAAATGGTGAAGTCTCTAACTCAAAGAAGTTATAATTTCTGGTGGCTAGTAATTGGGCAGAGTCATTTATTTATTTATTTATTTATTTATTTAATATATTTTTATTGATTTCAGAGAGGAAGGGAGAGGGAGACTCTATGAAGACTCTTTTTATTTAGACTTCATAATCAAATTATGAAGACTCTAACTCAAAGTTGTTTGTAAAACCAACTTTGGAAAAGCCCGTCACCAGCAGATAAATGGTGAAATAATCTAGGGACCCTCCAAACAATGGAATACAATGCTTCTGCTTAACAGAATAAGGGACTGACCTAGATTTATGTCCATGTTAAAAGCAAGTTGCAGAATAATATAAAACCAGTTGGCTAGACAGAAAAATAAAAGGGCAGAAAGGAGGAGATGGAGGGTGGTGGTGGAAGGAGGGGCAAAAAGAAAGGAAGACAGTGAGAGTAGGAAGTGGTAGAGAATTGGTGAGCAGCTTTTTTCTGGCCTCCAGTTCCCCAGCCGAAAGGACAAAGGCAGAGTGGCTGCTCCTGTGTGGCCCTTTGTCTCTTGTGGCAAGGACAGTTTTATTTCTATTCACAGGAAACTATTTTCATTGGAGATGTTTTTCCAAAGCAGGAAAAAAAAGTGTCTCCAAAAAGTTAGATGTGTAAGGATAAATGTGTATGTCCTACCAAGAAAACACTTGTCCCCCCCAAAATGTTAAGGAATGAAAACATATATTATGTGAAATATGTAAATAAATATTGCTCCATTCATTTCCCCTAGTAGGTTATTACAGGATGACTTAAAAGTACTAAGTAAAAGTACTTGATAAACAAAAGTGATTGCCTATGTATTAAGTAATACTTGGGCAGGACTTGATTCTATCACATGATTATATACTTATTATTTAGTGTTCATATTTAGTATTTTTTATAGAGCTCTGTGGTGGTAGGGGCAATGCCTTTCATTTGTTTGTTTTGGTTGTTTTTTCCATCCCCAGTGCCACATCTGGCAAGCCTATGGCAGATGCTCAATAAATGGTGAAGACTCTAACTCAAAGAAGTTATAATTTCTGGTGGCTAGTAATTGGGCAGAGTCTTTTATTTATTTATTTATTTATTTATTTATTAAATATGTTTTTATTGATTTCAGAGAGGAAGGGAGAGGGAGAGAGAAATAGAAACATTAATGATGAAAGAGACTCATTGATCAACTGCCTCCTACATGCCCCACACTGGGGATTGAGCCCATAATCTGGGCATGTGCCTGGACTAGGAATCAAACCATGACCTCCTAGTTCATAGGTCCATGCTCAATCACTGACCAACACTGCCCGGGTTGGGCAGAGTCTTTTAAATAAAAAATATCTTGTGCTGTGAGCAGGCAGTCTCACTTCTAGGTCTCCATCCTCCAAAAATTATGACATGCGTGGATAAAGGTATATGTACAATATTCTTTGCAGCCTTGTTTGTAAAACCAACTTTGGAAAAGCCCGTCACCAGCAGATAAATGGTGAAATAATCTAGGGACCCTCCAAACAATGGAATACAATGCTTCTGCTTAACAGAATAAGGGACTGACCTAGATTTATGTCCATATCATATCACATGTTAAAAGCAAGTTGCAGAATAATATACACAACATGATTCCATTTGTGTGTGTGTGTGTGTGTGTGTGTGTGTGTGTGTGTGTGTCGGGGGAGAGCATGTGTTTTATGAGATAGCTACAAAATGAGGGAAAACTTTGAAAAGGGTGTTCACCGTGTAAACAAGTGTTAGTAATGAAGAAGGGATCAGAAGGACTCCCTCCACTTCTTTATATATAGAATCTGTAAAGTAGTAAGATTATGGGAGGTTTTTGCTTTGGAAGGAAAATTTCAACTTAAAAATAAATTCTTTACTAATGAAAAGAATGAAAAATATTTTTTTTAATATATGTTATTGATTCTTTACAGAGAGGAAGGGAGAGAGATAGAGAGTTAGAAACAACGATGGGAGAGAAACATCGATCAGCTGCCTCCTGCACACCCCCTGCTGGGGATGTGCCCGCAACCAAGGTACATGCCCTTGACCAGAATCGAACCCGGGACCCTTCTGTCCGCAGGCTGGCGCTCTATCCACTGAGCAAAACTGGCTAGGGCTGAAAAATATTTTTAATATGCAGGGCTTTGCTTGTGAGCAAGCAGATTTAACTTCAATCAAAGGGCTCCCAAAATTACGGCTTTCTTCAATGTGCCTTTAGATTTGAGATTGTTCTATTATAGCAAAAGAATTTTTATGTGTTATGGCACACTATATCATCTATTTGAAATAGTAATGTGGCTCTAGCCAGTTTTGCTCAGTGGATAGAGTATCAGCCTTTGGACCACAGGGTCTCAGGTTCAATTCCGGTCAGGGGCATGTACCTTGGTTGCAGGCTCCTCTCCGGCCGGGGTCCTAGTCAGGGCTCATGCAGGAGGCAACCAATTGATATGTTTCTCTCACATTGATGTTTCTCTGTCTGTCTTTCCCTCTCTCTCTTCCACCCTCCCTAAAAATCAACAGAAAAATATCCGTGGGTGAGGATAGATAATAAAAAGAAATAGTAACGTGTATCTCATCCATTTCTTTGTATTAGCTGGTGTCATGTACAGCGATGCAGTTTCTGCCCTTCACGCAGTATTTGGCCCAGCTGCTGTCCTGGCCAAGAGGTGCACCCCAATCAGAAGCTATTTTAGACTAGGAAGGAGGTTCTGCAACTGAGTCCAAAAGTTTGGCAATGGCCAGTGGCAGCCCTGGCATCAGTTACGTAGTACTGTGCTTGAGAGTGAACTAACTACAAGTCCTTATGTAGTATAATCAGGCTTTTTGCCACGGGGGCTTTTCTTCACTGCTCATCGCTGACCCTCTGTGGCCTCCAACCATGTCTTGGGTCAAAAAGAATGTTGTTCCTCAAAGCAGAGGCTGAAGGCTCCGTTCTCCCCAGTCACCCTTCCCAATTCTCTATGTTGACCTGCCTTCTATTCTCAGGCAAGCTACCTCCTCTCTCCACCCCCACTTCTGAACCTGCTCAAGACTCACTCTACCTTGAAGCTCTTCTAGAACCCCCTCCTACGTATTCACTCCTTAAAGGCCTCTAGAAATGCTTCCTTTGTCAGGGACCATTGACCGGTGAATTAACTGGCACACAATGAAAGAAAAACAGAAGCCAGCAATTGCCAACAATACAGACGAAATACTTTATTAGGTTCCAAATTGAGAAAATGGTAGCGTGAACCGATTTCAGTATAAATCCACCACCCTCCTCAGAGAGCCAGCCTTAGCATCCGTGGCCCCCCAGTCGTGGGAGCGCCTGTACTCCTGGGGCCTCAGCAGGTACTGCCGCCCCCGGTAGTTGGGCATCTCGTAGAGGACCCAGCAGCCCTCCAGCACGTGGAGGGAGCGGACCTCAGCCCGGTGGAAGCGGTCCTGGATGCAGGAGCAGTCCTCGCTCAGCTCCATCATGTGGCCTTGGTGGTCCTCTCTCTCATACAGCCGCAGCCGGTGGGAGCCCGTCTGCTCCACCCACAGAGAGAAGCAAGCAAACAACAGATGAACTTGGTGGGTTGGGGCGTGGGATTGCCCATGTCAAACCTGAGGCTCTAAGATTGCTGTGAATGCTGTGTATGGGTTTGTGTCCTACTCACATTAACAAATGTTTGCATGCCTGTTCTCTATTTCAGATCTAGGAGACGAAATTTTTAAGAGATCCAATGTTTGGGTTAGAATCAATCTAGAGCTCAAATATCTTGTTTTCTTAACTCCTAATTACCTAATTCCTTGATTCCTAGGTGTTAAACCCATATTAGGGGGATAATGTAAAGTGTTTGACTAGTATTCTTTTAATATGAGTGTTATCGCCCAAATTTATATACATACAAATTTACCACTAAAGTAGCATTTTAAAAATCACATACTTCAGTGAAAATTAGTTTAGTCACTTGAATCCTAATTCAACTGATTTTCCAAATTAAGAACAACTGCTTTTCCCAAAACTTGGACATTACCTTTGAATAGCCTACACTAACAATAGAGTTTTCCATTTCTACCAGTCTACAATGGAAACTATTTCGTTCCTAATCAACTCCCTTATTATAGGTATAAGTTAGTTTGTTAGAAATACTGCCTTCTCTGTCCAACCAATTTCCCATTTGCAAGCTTTGCTTTATATCCCACTACGTTATTACATTTGTTGCAGACAACTTTTGATTGACCTATTGGTAACAAAAATTAAAAACCAAACAGACTCCCTAAGTGAATTCTTCCCCGTATTCTGTGCTGTTTTTGTGCAAGTATCTATTTGAGCTTAGGCAAGTATCGAAAGCCCACTTAATCCTGGGGTGCTTTTATTTTATTTTATTTTTTAATAATTTTTTACTTATTTATTTGAGAGAAAGAGAGAGAGGAAGGGGGGAGAGAAAGAGAGAAACATCAGTTTGTGCCCTGACCAGGGATCAAACCTGCAACCTTGGCTATTGGAATGATGCTCTTACCAACTGGGCTACCTGGCCAGGGCAATCCTTGGGTGCTTTTAAAGGAAACCTCCTTCACCCTAACGCCCCTCAATAATACTTGAGGGCCCCCCCCCCCCCCCCCTCCCCAGGCAGCGTGATCGTCCTCAGGCCACACTCACCTGGGGGATGAGGCGGCAGGAGCGGACAGCGTCGCTGAGGCCCAGCCACTGCTGGTGGTCCGGGTAGTCGCCGCGCCGCAGGAAGTACTGGGGGCCCTGGTAGTCGGGGCGCTCATACAGCATCCAGCAGCCGCTGTCCACGCGGATGGAGTTGCAGCGGCTGAGGTAGGGCTGCAGGTTGGGGTGGTCGCTGCTGCACTCGAAGCGGCGGCCCTGGAAGCCGCGGTCCTCGTAGAAGGTGATCTGCAAAGGAAGAACAGCCCCGAGGGAAATCATTTGCCCCCAGTCGATCTTGTATAGGGGGTTTTACCGCCATCTTATTTCATTGTGTCCGGCTCACCTTCCCCATGGCTGGTTGGCTGGGATGCAGCGAGGTCGGTGGATGGGCGGCTGCTGCGTTGGCAGGAGCAGCACAAAGGGGTCCGGGGCGAGGAGGGGAATTCATGGAGCCTCATTCTCTGGCATATTCCAACGCTGTCCTGTTCGTGTCCTATTGGGCCCCTACAGTGGCTTTTATTCGGTTCCCAGTGTTTTTCTAAACTTATCAGCGCGTCAGTCTGAACTTTTGACCTGAAACGCTTGTGTCTCCACACATAATTCAGTTGCGCCCCATGTATTTCCTGGGGAAAATCTATACCTTTCTAGAAGAGCCGCAGAATTCCAGAGGGGCCGTGGGGAAGCAGAATGCCCAGCACCCACTAATTTCCCTTGACAGAGACCCTCTAACTTAAATTCTCTTTTTGTCCACGACGTGCCAGTCGAGTACAGGACACGAATCTGGATGCTGGTCTTTGCCAGTTTTGACAGATGCTTTAAGGCACAGCGACTAACTTCCCCTTTGTACTCCATGTAACTAGAAATCGGCGGCTGGTAGTCAACTTGTGATAAGGATCAGGGGAAAGGCTTTTATGGTCATTGGGTCCATGACTGGGACGTTTATTGTTTTATAGATTGCTTCCCAGGGCTGGGGGAGGGAGCAAAGCTTGGTGGACTGAGAATGTCCACTTAGTAGCCACATAAGCTCTCAGAGAATGAGTTATTTTATAGTACTTACCTCATGGTACATAGTATGAAGGACAAGAAAGAAATAAAGAAAGAAGCAAAATAAAGAAAGAAAGAGGCCGGCTGGTGTGGCTCAGTGATTGAGCGTCGGCCTTTGAACCAGGAGATCCTGATTCTATTCCTGGTTGAGTCACATGCCCAGGCTGTGGGCTCCATCCCCAGTGTGGGGCATGCAGGAGGCAGCCGATCAATGGTTCTCTCTCATCATCAATGTTTCTAATCATGATATTTTATTAAAAGAAAGCCTACACCCATTTTCTTGTAATGCTTTATTGAAAGGATTGCAAATGTTTCCATGTGACAACATAGTAAAGGCAAATGATAGATTAATTTTATTTTGGATTGAAAGTTTAGAAAATTGCCTCTTACTCCACCATTCTGCACTATTCAATGCTACACATTTGTAAAATGTGCTAAAAGCCAGCCTGCTCTGACATAGAAATACTATATATTCTTGGAATTCTCCAACTAACAGTCTTCCACTCACAATGAAGTAGCATAAAAGACACACATTTTAAAAACCCAAATGTAGCCGTATAATATGATTCTACGAAAAGAATGTTCAATATCCAAAAATAACACTGCAATGCAGTTTGCATCAAAGCTAACTGTAAAGAAAAATATGCTGGCAAGAGTTGCAGTTTTGAGATGATGTTTCTTTTCCTCTCCCAGAGACTTTATTGTGAAGTCCCAGGGTGCAAGTCCAAGTTTCTAAGTGACCTGCAGAATAAAAAGAGGATTTTGGTATCAAGCATGGACACAGACAGTAGCTTTCAATCTATAGGGAGTTAAGGTCAAATATCAGGTACTAAGTTATTGACCATGATGGGTTAAGATGAATATAGGTACCAAAGAATTTCCATGGAACTGTTGTGAGACATTTGGAAATTGAGTTATATTTTTCAACTAAATACAATAAATCCCACACTGTATCCTCTACAGAAGGAAAAAAATGTTTTAAAAAACATTATTGGGTCAATTGACAAAATTATATATAGACAGTAGATTGGATCAAAGTATTAATGCTAGATTTTCTGAAGTTGATAACTATACTATGGTTATTCAAGAGAATGACTTTGTTCTTAGGAAGTACACACTAAATTATATGGGGTTAAAATGAGATGGTGATGTAACTGCAAATAGATCAGAAAAAAATATGATCTATTTGCAGTTACACAAAGAGAAAAAGATAGGAACAGAGGAAGATAGAGAGGCAGAGAGAAAAATGATATAGCTAATAGAGCAAAACATTAACAATTGGTGAATGTGAGTCAAATGTACGCACAGGTTTTTTGTCATACTCTAGCAACTTTTCTCTAAGCTCAAAATTGTTTCCAAATAAAATAAAATAGTAAAAGTAATACTTCATTTGATGGATCACACCCGAAGCAAATAATTTCTTTGCCCTTTAGCGGTTGTGTATTATTCTTACAGCATGTTACTTTGAATTTCTTGTATATTGGTTTGAATTTAAACTAAAATTGCTCCCTCTCCATTTCTGATGGGGGGGTGTTGAAGTCTACAACTAGGACAGTGAAGCCATCTGCTTCTCCGGCAGTTCTATGAGTTTTTACCTTATGGAGTTTGATGCTCTGTTGCTCAGTGACTACTTAAGGAATCTATGTCTCTTGGAGAATAAACCTTTATCATCATGCACTTCCCTTCTTTATCCCTGATAACAGTCCTTGCTTTGAAGTAGCTCTGTCTGAAATTAATATAGCTACTTTTGCTTTTTTTAAAAATTAGTATTAGCTTGGCATATTTTTATCTATCCATTTACTTTTCATCTATGTGTGTCTTTATATTTCAAGTAGGTTTCTTATACACACCATATAATTGGGCCTTGTTTTTTGATCCACTCTGACAAGCTGTCTCTTTTCTTCTTCTTCATAAATTTCATTATGAAATTTTTCATACAGAAAAATTGAAAGAATTGAACCATGAGATACATATGCCCATAACCTGCTAATTCTGTAAACAGTTTCCCGTGTTTGCGTTAACATACATCAGGGCAATTCTCTATCCCTCTACCCATCCACCAGTCCACCTTATTCTTGGGGGCAGCAGTGTACCCTGTGCCTTCCCCTTTCTTTCATTTCTAAGAAGAGTTGCTGATTTTTCAATCTGTTCAGCTTTTTACTTGTTAGAGTGGAGTGTCGATATCCAAGCCCCTTCTGTGTGGAAATGGAAACCAGATCCCTCAGACTGTCCTCTGGCCATCTTTCTTCCCTCCCATGATGCTGTGAGTTCCTCCAGAGTGGCAATAAGGGGGCACGTGCGTTATTGCCTGTGACAGTCCTGGCACTTTCTAAGCCCTTCCATGTCTATTCACAGTCCCTGTAACAACCCATGAGGTACATACTGTTATCATCCACGTTTTATAGATGAAGCACAAGAGATTCACTTAATAATTCACCCAAGTTATTAAATGGAGGAACCAGATTCAAATCTAGTTATCTGACTCCGAATCCACACTCTTAATCACTAGAGTATGCTGTTTTCTGTCCATTCCTAATTCATGTCCTAGAACTCTGCCCAATATTGACACTTTCCTGGGATATGATGTTGCTCATACCCATCTCTATTAATAAATGAGGTACTAATACCAATACAGTCTAAAATATTTAAAACTGTTTTCCAGAATACCTGGATTTTTAACAAATAATTTCTCCTTTTTCCTTACTTTATGAAAAAAGTCAGTGGCTGGAAATATATAGAAAATCCTGACTAAGACATTGTTTCATCTTGAGGTTATAAAATTGTTTATCAGTTAAAATACATGATATAATATCAGTAAGCTATAAAGAAAAAGACTAAAAAGCTCAAATATATAAAATGAAAAACTACTTTAAACAATAAACCATGAAAGTATATTCCTCGTATATTTATAAAATAATTATTTCTTTAATAAAGATAATTGTTTATTTATTTCTTGGCTATTTCTAAAAAATCAGTAGTAGGACATACAATGTATAGCAATATTTGAATATCAACAAGAAATATTAACAGTGTTTATTTCTAAGGAGTAGGAAAGGGGTGTGGATTTCACTTGTAATTTTTGTATTGTTTGAAATTTTTACTATAAGCACATACACACTTATTTAAACCCATAATGTAACAGCTGATTAACTTGTGGATTGCATTTCTCAAAAGCTAAAAGATGATAGTGGTTAGTATTTATTTAGGGTTGCTCTGTACAAGCACTGTTCTAACCTCTTAACATGTATAATCTCAGATAATCATCCCACAAGCTTAAGAGGCGATACCATCATTCTTCCCATTTTGCAGAAGAGAAAAAGAGGCTAAGTCACTGACCTGAAGTCACACAGATGGGAGGTAGTAGCTTTAGATTCAAACCCAGAACATCTCATTCTAAAGGCTAGACTTTTAACCACGATATAAGTGAAGTACTCCCCAACATCTGGTATCATTTGGGTCCAGTTTGTGTTTTGAGACCTACTTTGCTCTTTGGCTGTGTGTCCAAAGGTAACTTTTTTGATGATTTCTGTTCCGTGGCATTTGCTTCCCTCCTAGAGCTGCTGGTGGCATTTTTATTCGTTGCTCCCCTTCTTAGCTTGACACCTAGAGACACATGTAGGAACAACAACAAAAACACCTTTTAAAAAATGAGTCCACCCACAGTTCTAGATCTTTCCCTTCATGAGTGTTTTGTTCCCATTACCAAGGCGTCTAAGAAATATTTCCCTGGTTTCGACAGTAGAGGGAAACCAAGCCGTAAGTACTCCTGGTTCTTTCGCGTTCAACCAGAGAGCTGTTCTTACCACGCCACCTCTGACCTGGCGTTGTGAGTCCCCCTCCTGTGTTAAACTTCTCTAACGGATGGAAGTAAGCAGGCTTACTCTGTTTGCGGGCATATTCTGCTGCTTTGGGTGCTGTTAACATGGCAAAAGGGTGCAAGGAGAGGCGGGAAGGTGGAGCTCGGGGAACCTGAAAGGAAAACAGTCCTCCTTTGAAACGCTGCACACACCGTGCTGCTCACACCTGCTGCCTATGGCACTTGGCCTGCTTTCCCAGCCCACAGTCCTTAGACGTTCCTACCGGTCCCCTGGCAGCCCAGGCTTCATTGTCAGGCACGTTCACACATTGTCTTCTACTCCCAGGCTGGGTCCCTCCTGCCTAGAATCACACTGATACTCCTCAGAGTTCCCTTTACCTGGAGTGGCTACTTCCTTCCTCTCTGCCCAGGGGCTCTTTTCCTGAAGGCCCCTCCTCTTCCTTTGAGATGCAGCTCAAATATCACCTTTTCTGAGAAACGTGCCCAATGTCTTCACACCTTCACGCTCCTATACTGGCCTTCTGCCCCCTCCTCCACCCCAAGGCAGAATTCCTGACTCTCATCTGTGAACTCAAAGCTCTTTTTGAACTCACATAGAACAAACCCAGTGTGTTGTGATTGTAATCCACTGTCTGCTGCAGGGCGCTGGAAACTTATTCAAGGCTAGAACTGTCCATTCATTCATTCATTCAACAAGTTTTCAGTGAGCACCTACCATGGTCCAGGCTCTGCTTTAAGAGCTGAGTGAGGAAAGACACTAAACTATTAGGCAACCAGGGTAATTATACATCATGATAAGTTTAATAAATATACTAAACAGATGATGTGCTAGGGAGTAACCGGACAGCCACCACTTCAGACAGAAGGGACAGAGACAGCAATGGAAGCCATTGAAATATTTTTAAGCAGTAGTGTTACAAGGTCTGGCTCAGGTTTTTAAAAACATCAGTCTGGCCCAGCTGTGTGACTTAGTGGTTGAGCGTTGACACGTGAACCAGAGGTCACGGTTCGATTCCCTGTCAGCGCACATGCTCAGGTTGCGGGCTTGATCCCCAGTAGGGGTCGTGCAGGAGGCAGCTAATCAATGATTCTCTCTCATCATTGAGTTTCTATCTCTCTCTCCCCTTTCTCTCTCTGTAATATATATATATAATTTTAATATCACTCTGGCTGCTTTGTGGAGAATGGATTGAAGGGTGGAAGGAGAGAGGCTGATTAACTAATTTAACCTTTTATCTCTAGAGCCTTAGAGAGTGCCTAGCACATAGTAGGCACTCAAATGTTATTGACTAGTTGAACTATGATTCTAGTCAAGGCAATAAGTGGTTGACAGCATGGACTTTGATGTCAAACTGGCTGATTTGGAATGGAGGCTGAACCATGTATAAGACATGTGACCTTGGGCACGTCTTTTAACCTCTCTGTGCCTGTTTCTTCATGAGATAATAATGATACTGGTACCTACCTTATAGAATTGTGGTAGGGATGAAAGAGTTAGCGTATGTAAAGTATTTAGAGTAGTGTTTGGTACACAGTACAATATAGTAGCTTTAAAATTAATAATAATAAACATTTATCAGCATCATCATTTCTCTCCCTGACTCAGTTCTCTTTTTTGTATAGAATTACCCATGGCAACAATTTGGCCACCAATTCCTTTAGGGAATCCTGACTCATCTCCCAGAAAAAGGTTGAGTAATTGCTGACAAATAATGAATCAGAGCCAGGAGGCCTGAAAAGATTAACACCCCCTGCAAGATCAACAACTTTCTGCTTTCTCACTGATAGAGATTCAGGTTTTAGGTTTACAGGAGTAAATCTAAGGAGTAAAAGTTGATTATACAAATCTTTTTACGCATGTCAAGAAAGATGCCATCTCATCAACAGGACACCCTTGCATGATGTATAACCGAGGCAAAAACAAAAAGACAAGGACAACAAAACAAATACTTAGTTTTAGATTTCCAGGTCAGTAGAAAATATTCTGCTCTATCTCTATCATCCAAAACTCTTAATGACTACACTCCTAATGAGCAAGTTCCCACGTAATTAATATCATCTTTGAAGTAGGTAGAAATTTGAACTCCAAGATAACTATTTAGTTTATATATAGGTATGGTATTTTGGGGGGTAGAGTGTCTTTTTTTTTTAAAGAAAGGGACTACATTTATATATTACTAGAGGCCCGGTGGACAAATTCGTGCACGGGTGGGGTCTGCCGGCCTGGCCCCGATTGGGATGGAGGGGGTCGATCGGGGGCAGGGCTGGCAGAGGGGAGGGGCTGCAGGTGGTTGGCCGGCCGGTCCCGCCCCCTGGTCAAACTCCCGGTTGAACTCCCAGTCGAGGGGACAATTTGCATATTAGCCTTTTATTAGATAGGATTTTGTCATTTTCAACAGGAATGACTGAGCAGAGACCTGGAAGAAGCCTGCTTCCTGACAATTGGGTGCAACTGCGGTACCAGCCCTGGTCTGCCCACCTCCAGACTCCTTTTATTTTTTACCTGAGAAGTAAACTCCTGTTTTTCACTATTATTATGGGCTTTTGGTTGTATCATACAGGAAACCAGTATTAAACAATAAATGAGGATGTGTTCTCTTTACCAACAGAACAGTTTAGAGCCACCTCAGCAGGGTCAAAAATAAAAATTTTTGACCTCAGTCTTTTATTCAAATGGCAAAAATATTGATTGAGAGTTCACTTCACATCCAGCATTGTAAGGAATTAAACATAAACAATGGCCTCTAACCTCAGAAGCATAACATCTATTCAGAAAGGTGACCCTATAACGCTGAAAGTAATTGAAAGGAGGCTTTATATAAGTATGGGGCAATTGTGACTATAATAGCAAGAGCCCTTCAGGTGAATATATGCCAGGTATAAAAAAAAAAGAGAGAGAGAGAGAAAGAATTGGCTCCTGTTTGTTTGTTTGTTTGTTTTTAGTGGTTAGACACTTACATAACTTATGAAGTGATGAAGTGATCCCCTTGACAAGTCTAGCCATACATCATTCTTTTTTAAAAATATATTTTTATTGATTTCAGAGAAGAAGGGAGAGGGAGAAATAGAAACATCAATGATGAGAGAGAATCATTAATTGGCTGCCTCCTGCATGCCCCCTACTGGGGATCCAGCCCACAACCCGGGCATGTGCCCTTGACTGGAATCAAACTTGGGACCCCTCAGTCCACAGGCTGATGCTCTATCCACTGAACAAAACTGGCTAGGGCAAGCCATATATCATTCTTGACGCACTTAGAACATACAAGACGGATGCTTTTCAAGCTCCAGTTGCCCTGTTTACTGGGGCAGATCGAACCTGATGATTTTACAGGTCACTTCCAGCTCAGATATTCTCTGAGGCCCGATAATCTGATGACTCATGCAAGCAGTTAATGTAGCTTTTAAACATAGAATGAAATTCAAATCCTAAATCTAGAGTTAATCATATCTTTTTTACTTTAATGCTACTTATTAATAGCTTCATTGTGGCATAGTAACAGTATTATTATGACTGTTATTTCTTGATTCAAGTACTTCTTGAGTGCCAAATTATGTCCAAAACACATTCAACAAAAATTTCTTCCAATAGAAAGGGGTAGGGGGAGGAAAAGAAGGCAGATGTGTGTAAAGGCCTCTCTTTTCTTTTTTCCCCTTTCTCCATCAAATAGAGTTGAATATTTGTATTGCTTGCTTTATTTGTTGAAGGGAGACCTGTGCTCTTTTTCTCCATGTTAAATTTGAGTAGGACAGTTTATATTTATCTGAAGCTATTTGTGTAACCCTCACTTACTTGGCCCTTGGTTGACTTCTTCTATGGGTCCAAGGTCCTGAGCAGAAAAATGGCTCCCTATCAGGAGAAAATCCTGAAGCTAGTAAAATTGGTGAATAATACTGGGCCCATGATGCCTTTCTGTCACCAGGTGGCAGCAAATAGTCCTGGAGAAAGCCATCAGGCCGGTGCACAGTGCTCACATTGTGTCATGTGGGCAGTTCTGGTGGCTGGAAATTTGACATAATCTGATTAGTATTCAGCGGGGCTTTAAAAGCTCTTGCTTGGGAAGGATGTTAGCTGTTGCTTAGGAGATATTTTATCTGAAGGAATCAAAGGTCATTCAGATATATGCAGCAATTAGAGAGGAACTTTTGGCAATAACTTTTTTTTTTATAGCAACCCATCTCCTAGTTAAATTTTTTGAAATTATTAAGCCCCAAGGACTGTTTTAAAATCGCTCCTAAAATTTACTATATTTGAAGTGCTATATGTCCATTGAGCGGTTCTGCTAATTCCTTATTTAAGATGCGGAGGGGGTCCTCAGTGCAGCTGACCTGCCCACAAGAGAAAGGCCTGAGTAGGGAGGAGCTTGGGGGGCCCACAGGGGGTAGGTGATCCTCAGAATCTTATATTTGTAGCTCAAATCATATCATACCTTTTGTGACATCTCATGGTTTGAAATAGGCACAGTGTTGCCCAGCCAGTGTGGCTCAGTGGTTGAGGGTCTACCTATGAGCCTCCATGTAAGGAAAGCATTTTACAAACATTTATTACCCAAGTAAGATATGGCTACATCTGGTTTTGTACATTTTGATATAAAACTGTTATTTGATGCCTAAAAGTACAACATAATAAATGTGTCAAATAAATTTTCTCTAAAAATCCCTTGAATTGATAGACTCAGGTCACCCCTACCTTGGTAGCACCAGAATTGGCAGAAGAATCCGCCCCGTAAATTTTAAAGACTTCTTCGATTGGGATGCTGTTCTGTTAAACAACAACAACAACAAAATGTATTATCATATCATGGCTTTTCTTTTGGCACAAAACAAAGCTGTTATAGCTCCAGGATGTCCATCTCTGTGCCTGTGTAGCATGGGCATTAAATAAACAACTTCTGAATAAATTTTAAACCAGAATATGCTGAATCCAATTAGTTATGCGTTTCATTCTGGGGTCTTTTGCCCCTTAAATAAATGTTTCCACAATGCAATATAGAAGTCAAAGTTTTTTTATTATAACTTAAAAAATGAAACATTTAATATCTGTACATCTTAAACATTTATATAAGCATTGGTTAAAGACAAAGTAAATATGCATTAATATCAAAATGTGCATAGAAAATATAGCATCTTCATATATACAAAGAGTGTTCTTTTCCTTACCATTAAGATTCCAGCATAAGATGATAAGATCATTGCTTCTCTTTCTCTATGGTTTGGGTATATGGGTCTGCCACGAAAGGGTCTTTTCCTAAGGGGGAACATGAATAAATAAGAATCGAGGGTTTATTCTTGTTGTTTTTGATACCTGCTAAGGTTGTGATAATAATCCATAAGTAATCTCCAATGGCCATGTGCTATGTGCTATGCACTTGTTCACAAAACTGACATGATGAACCCACCATCTTTGAATTTTGAATCTTCCAACAGTGGTGATGAATTTGCCCTCATCTATCCAAGTTTTCACAGCTATCAAACATGGGCTGACTGGTCACTATGGTGGACAAGTATGGATTTGCCAACCAGGATCCTTTCCCTTCTTGTGGCAATTTGCTTGGGGGAACTGCCTTACTCCACTGTAAACCTAAGTGCTTCAGGTTTAGCAATGGCTCTGCTAAACCTGTTCTATTTTGTCCGGATTCCAAAGATTGGAAAACACACTGTGGACTAAACTAGTCACGGTCTTCCATCCCCCACTCCACCCCCAGACAAGTCAGGGTTAACAGAGCTATTGAGACAATTCTGTGATTTTTAGGAATCCATTTTTCCCTGGACTGAATTTTGCAATAAAGTAGGCTGAAACTAAGAACAGTGTCTAGCCAGAGGAAATAGTCAAGAGGTAGGTCTTGATGACATGGTTTGAGTTTGAATTAAGTCTTGCCTTAGGAAGAGCTACTCATGGATTTTCAAATACAGAAGCAGTAAATCTCCTCCCCTCCTTCTCTCTCTCTCTCTCTCTCTCTCTCTCTCTCTCTCTCTCGCTTAAGTCTGTTCAAACTGGATTTTCTGCTTATTATAACTGCACTCTAACTGATTGACACAGCCATCCAGGGCCAGGTGTGTGTTCTAAGGCCATGGAACGGAGAAAAGTAACTGGCCTCTGGAATAAGCTGCTCAATTCTGTTGCACATTCTTACCAATTGAGTGTGTCTGCCTGGCACACAGGGAGAAAATGCCGATAATCCTGGAAAGGAAATTATTCTACAATTCAAACAGCTCAACTCAGGTACATATCTGGTCAAATGCTTAAGAAGTTGCGTTTGATGGTCCTTAGGAAAAGATTGTAGCCTTTCCCCACAGAACTGGCCATCTGAACAATCATGGCCTGTGCACAACAAAGCACCGACTTATTTCTAAGGGAGAACATTCTATGCAATAGAAACCAATTAGGCCCTAGCAGGTTTGGCTCAGTGGATGGAGCGTCAGCCTGTGGAGCGTCAGCCTGTGGACTAAAGGGTCCTGAGTTCGATTAAGGTCAAGGGCACACCATCCCATGTGGGGCATTCAAGAGGCAGCCGATCAATGATTCTCTTTCATCACTATTGTTTCTATCTCTCTGAAATCAATAAAAGTATCTTTTTTTAAAGGAAACTGATCAGCAGAGATGTAACAAATGTAAACACTATGTGACTTCCCCAAGTTGACAGCTGTGGGGTTTCTTCAGATTTCTGGTTGCAGAGGGATACTCCGCTGCAGTGTTTTCACATCAGAGTACTCACGGTGGAAGATGCCAGTTAGAACTTCCTCTTTCGTTTCTCATAGTCACACATTAAAAAAAAACACAACTATTTCAACTTACACTTTTTCCCACTCCAGCCAAGTTAAGTCTTCCGAGCGATCCAGCCATTGCAAAGCAACACTGATGGCCAGGTCATAGTGCGCCTGGAAGCAGGAAGCACAGAGAGCAAAGGAACCGGCTTAGACATTGGCCGAAGCCCTCCCTGGGCCCAGTGACAATGGCTCTGCTAAACCTGTTCTACTATTTTGTTCGCAATGGTGAGGCTCATTAGCTCTGTCCAGTAACCTGATGCTCAGACAGAAATCATAGAGATCTCCAGGCATTGCCTTCACCTCCCACTAGAGCAGGGGTTGTTTTTCTTGTTTGTTTTTATTGTCGTTGTTTGTTTGTTTGTTCTTGGCTTCTGTGGATCAAAAACGAAAAGAGATTCTTGGGAAGAATATTACACTCGGAATCAGGGAATCTGGACTCACATCTAGGTATGGCCAATAATCGGTAGTGTATCCTTAGGTGAACAATTGATGTTCTGTGGGCCTCAGTTTTAAGTTTTGTTGTTTTTTTTACTTTTTATTTTATTATTTTCATCACCATTTATCCCCCCATACGTTCTTCCACCTCCACCCACTCCCCTCCCCTCACAATCACCATACTCTTGTCCCTGTCCATGAGTTCTTTCTCTTTTTTCCCCTTTTTGTCTCAATCCCACCACTCACCAGCCCCCACCCCTTAAAATTTTGAAATAGAGAAAGGTGCAGGTGGAGGAAGAGGGACCCAGAGAACAGTTCCTAATTCTGTAAGTAGAATGACAGAAACGTGTTCTCGGGGCACAGGGGAACCGATGTGTCCACTGGGGAAGCCTGGGAGGCTTCAGAGAAGAGGCTTTGGTGGAACTGGGGCTTGGAGGGGGAGGGTTTATGGAGGTGGGGCAGGACCTCCAGGTGGAGGGGTGAGCATGAGCAAAGGGCTGAGGTAGACCTGATTAAGTGACCTGCTAAGAGACTCATACAGAAAGCTGAGGACCAATTCCAACGAAGGTCAGTTTGACTTCCGCATTTTCAGATGGGTTTTAAGGTTCTATCTCACACCCATGTTTTTTAAAACAATGTGATTATTTCTATTTCTTCCAGGGGCTGAACCAGACTGAAAAGTGAATTAGAAGAAGAAGGAGGAGGAGGAGGAGGAGGAGGAGGAGGAGGAGGGAGAGGGAGAAGAAGAAGAAGAAGAAGAAGAAGAAGAAGAAGAAGAAGAAGAAGAAGAAGAAGAAGAAAGAAGAAAAAAAAAAAGAAAGAAAAGAAATGGACCCTGATCAGTTGTTGAAACTTAATCCAAAGACTGGTTCGTGGACTGGTAACACTGGATCATTTATTAGAAATGCAAATTCCCAGCCCCACCCCCTACTTCCTGAATCACAACGGCCTTGTAATAAGACCTCATTAAAGTTTGAGAAGCAATTATCTAATTGACTTAATTTCTCCATCTAATACGTGCACTGAGAAGCACTTAAGAAAACCAAGGCCTGACCGCTTACTCAGCCCCAGGGAAGTCAGATCCTTTCTTCCCTGCTAGTGCAAGGGCAGTAAATGGGAGGATAAAAAGCTGAGGGTTTACTAGTTTCTTTTGAATTAGATCTTTACACAGTTTCTTAACTTACAGGAAGTGAAATTTTATTACATAACATGAACCCAAGATTCAACACAAATAATAATAGAAAGGATTTTAGGATTATTCAATTCTTTGGTTTTCTCCATTAATGCGCATGGTAAAAAACAAAACAAACAAACAAACAACAACAACAAAAACACCCAGTATTATACTTGAGAACTACATGATAGCTAATTTTGTCCAAAAAATGTTAACATCATATGTAATATTTGCCCCTGCACCCATTTTGCTTTTTAATCTTTTCTAATGCCAATAGCAGAAGTCACATGACTTTTATTTTCTCATTCCTGTTGCTTTCAGTTTAATGGGTTGAAAAGACCATGTGGAGAATGCCAGGATGAGATGAGAAAGAGGCCGTTCTAGAGGACCAGGGTCAGCCTTGTTTATTACATACATTATATACTTATGTCCCCTTCACTAACATGTAACACAGATGTGGCTTCCACCCGCATGCCTTTCTTTACCATATCATCTAGAAAGGTGAGTTGCCTTCTTCCTTTTGGGTCAAATTCCTTTTCCCGAAGTCTGATGCCAATATAATCTCCCCTTAAAAGCAAGAGAGCAGGATTGAACCACTGGGAATGACACGGGAGTTCCATCTGCAGATGGGGGTTCCTGCCCAGCCCCTCCCTCCCGCCAAACACAAGAGCAGTCACTGACAGCTCTGAGAGCCGGGTTCACAATTCCTTCTTTTTATATGGATAATTATTTGGCTACTGTTTTGATTTAACAAAATCACTATTTTGATTTAAAAGGCAATTCTGCAATGCAGTAGGCTTAAAATGTCTCACCATAATGAAATTAAACCACATTTATCTAAAAACTAAATGCACATCGTGGGCACAGAATTTATAGGAAAGCAGGGAGTATGATAAATCCCCACATGCAGAAAAGGTTCACAAAAATGAAAGGATTGAGACCCACTGTTTAAAATAAAGATTCCCTTGCTAACCATGTGAAATTCAGGCAAAATGTCAACGAGGTTGATAAATTTCGGGCCAGATGTATTCTTTTGCTTTTCCTCATTGGAATGCAAATACCCTTAGGAGGAGTTATACATAACAATGTATTAGTAAGTCCAGTTTAGTGTGTCCTCCTCAGATCCCTCCAGAGGACAGAATTAGGGCCCTGGGAGGAGACTGGAGGGGCTGCCATTCTGGAAAGTCAGGAAGAAAGAGCACTGGATGCAGGACAAGGGGCCCTGGGGTCCCCCTCCACACATCTCTGGGCTCCCATGAGGCCACGCTTCTGGTCGTCAAGGTCTTTGGCACACACTTTGGGCAAGTAACCTTACGAGGGATAAGTCTGTTTCTGCCTTCTTGAACTCTTCTGATTTATTACACTTAGATTGATAAAAATCCTCAATTTTTTTTCTTTGTCATCCTAAGGTACTTTATTTAGAGTGCCCTAACTGTATTCTTTGGCTATAACTTTACATTTACATCCCTTTTGAAATTCCAGTTCTAGGTGGAGGAATTAACATTCCTGATTATGGTTTGTTGTTTATTAGTTTGGCCTCCAAACACGTACCTGTAAACATCTGTGAATTCACACATAGTTTACTCCAGCGTTTCTTAAGGATTTGTTCCAAGATCATTATCTTAGCAGCTGAGAGAGCACATTGGATGGGGACTGTGATGAAGTCTTTGATGAAAAGGGCATTATTATTGTGCCTATAATACATATGAAATAGGACATAGCTGCCTCCCTCCCCCCGTCCTTTTTATATCGTCTGTTATTTTCACCAACCTCTTAACAAAATACCAAGTCAAAGAAAAGCTAGCACAGGAGAAAAAACATTTTTCCATGGGGAGACTTAATATTTTCTTTTGTTTGTTTAAACATAAAAGTTCCGATGGCAGGAAACAGGAGATGAATTACTGAGTTGATCGGACTGACCATAAGAGAGGCAGAGGCTGCAATTTCAATGCTGGGCCCCTGGGTACATTTTTCAGAAATCTCCCCTCTATCTTTTCCAGCAGAGCCCTCTCAAAGGCACACCCTGCCCAGCACAGCTGACAGGGCTGTGGTCCCAGATCCTAGGCTCTGGAACAGGGATGCCTCGGATGAGCATGCTGCTGGCAGAAGCATCCTCCCTAGAGATTCAGCATCAGGCTTTGCACCCCGAGTGAGGCCTCTGGTGCCGGAGACACAGGCCAGATTGTCCGGCTTTTTTTTTGATAGTGCAGGAATAAAACCTTCCTGAGATGTTTACCCTCCTGCCAATATCAGACCATCCATGACAGGAAACCCACCAAATGCTGAGTATGGTAAATGAAAGTTATTCTCAATCTTACTTACAGGAGCCTTTTCACCTCCTTCTTTAGGAGCCTTCTTTCCATGATTAAAGGCTGACCCAGCTGCGCAGGTATCTGCAGCTTACACTGCACCTGATATCTGTTAGGAAGACGCAGTCTCTCTGAGCCTAGAAGCTACCGCAGCAAATCAGAGAGAATTGGAGTTAGGGACGCTATCACTCCAAATACCAGTCATGGAGTCCCAGGCTCTGGAAGGGATCCGAGAATGTGCAGAGCTCAGGCCTCTTATTCAGCAGGTTCCAGGGCAGAAAGCTGTCTGGAGGCCAGTGCATTGTACCTTGAGTTTATCTGGCACTTCTCATTCCTTGCGAGTGTTTCCAGCATTCATCATTTACCGGCCCTTGCAATAAACTAGCAAGTAAAACAGGCCAGGCTTGTGTAATAGCGGATGAGACTATTTGGGGAGAACCATCCGAATGAGGATGGTTTGTGTTCTGAATATGTTTGAGCTCTGAGTACATTGGACCTAGCGACTCCCAGTGAATTCGCCCTGGTGCAATGGCTCGTGATAGTGTTTTCTATGGAATCCACTCACAACTTCTTTTTTTTTTTTCCATGCACAACTTCTTATGGCCAGAAGGTCCTTGAAAGACCATGTGGTTATGGCAAATGTGAGACCATGTCTTCAGTTCCTACCCCAACATCGAACCAGAAATTGGAGTTTAGGTGATGGGGTCAAACGGGTTCTGAAGTCACAAAAAAAGTTTACAAAACAAAAATTATCGGTGTAAATTTACAATAGCTAAGATTTGGAAACAGCCTAAGTGCCCGTCAGCAGATAAGTGGATTAGAAAACCGTGGTACATCTACACAATGGAATACTATGCTGCTGTAAAAAGGAAGGAACTCCTACCATTTGCAATAGCAAGGATGGACCTGGAGAGCATTATGCTAAGTGAGATAAGCCAGTCAGAGAAAGATAAATATCACATGATCTCACTCATTTGTGGAATATAATGAACAACATAAACTGATGAATAAAAAACAGATCCAGAGACAGAGAAGCATTGATCAGACCATCAAACCTCAGA